TAATGAAGGAAGAAGTCCAAGGTGCATTGCAGGCATTGGCAAAGAACAAGCCTCCAGAAATTGATGGAGTACAAATTTAAATGTTTAAACAAACTGACGCAGCACTGGAGGCACTCACTCATCTCTGCCAAGAAATTTGGAAGATAGCTATCTGGCCAACTGATTGAAAGAGATCCTTATTTGTGCCCATTCCAAAGAGAGGTGACCCAACAGAATGCAGAAACCATCGGACAGTATCGTTAATATCACATACAAATAAAATTTTGCCAAAGGTGCTTATAAAAAATGACTGCAATAGTTCATTGACAGGCAACTTTCAGAGGTTCAAGCTGGATTTAGACAAGGATGTGGAACCAGGTATATCATTGCTGAAGCCAGACGGATCTTGGCTGAAAGCAGAGAATACCAGAAAGATATTTGCTTTGCTTTATTGACTATGAGAAAGAAACTTTTAATTGTGTAGATCATGACAAGCTATGGGTAACATTGGGAAGAATGAGTATGCCAGAACACTTAATTATAATTCCAAGGAAACTGAACATAGACCAAGAGAGAGGCAGTTGTTCAAACAAAACAAGGAAACATTGAATGGTTTAAAATTAGGAAAGGTGTGCACCATGGTTGTATTATTTCATCATACTTATTCAATCTGTATGCTGAGCAAATTTGAGAAGCTGGATTATATGAAGAAAAATGTGGCATCAGGATTGGAGGAAGACTCATTAACAATCTATGACATGCAGATGATACAACCTTGCTTGCTGAAAGCAGAGGACTTAAAATACTTACTGATAAAGATCAAAGATCACAGCCTTCAGTATGGATTGCACCTCAATGTGAAGAAAACAAAAATCCTTACCACTGGACCAATAAATAGCATCAAGATAAGATAAATGGAGAACAGATAGAAGTTGTCACAGACTTCATTATGCTAGGATTAACCATCAACACTCATGGAAGCAGTGCTAAAGAAATCAAGCAACATATTGCATTAGATAAGTCTGCTGCATGACTCCTTTGAAGTGTTGAAGAGCAAAGATGTCAATTTGAGGACTAAGGTGCGGTTGACCGAAGCCACAGTATTTTCAATAACCTCACATGCACGTGAAAGTTGGACAATGAATAAAGAAGACCGTAGAACTGATGCATTTGAGTTAGTGTTGGAGCCTATTAAAATGACCATGGACCACTAAAAGAACAAACAAATCTGTGTTGGAAGAAGTACAGCCAGAGTACTCCTTAGAAGCCAGGATGACAAGATTTCATCTCTCATACTTAGAACGTATTATATCAGGAGGGAACAGTCCCTGGAGAAGAACATCATGCTTAGTAAAGTGGAGAGTCTGCCTAAGAGGAGGACCCTCAACAAGATGGATTGTAACAGTGGCAACAGCAATTGACTCAAGCATAGCAGTGATTGTGATGTAGTGAGACCGGACAGTGCATTGCTCTGTTGTGTATGAGTCAGAGCCAACTTGATGTCACCTAACAACCTTTTCTGAAGGAATTATGCATTTGGAGTCCTGGTGTGGTGCTGTGTGATAAAGCACTAGACTGCAAGGTCAGCGGTTCAAACTCACCAGTTGCTCCTTGGAAATTCTAATCAGGGTCGCTAAGAGTCAGAACCAACTCGATGTATTATTTTTTCCAGTGTTCTTTGCATTTGGGAACAAAAAAAAAGTCTGAAGGGGCAAGATCAAGGCTACAGTAAATATAGGATAAGGTTACCTAATGAGATTTCCACAAGACAGCCTTTGCTCATCTCGACAGCCTCTGCTCATCTCAAAGAATGATCAGATACACTGTCGTGTTAGAAAAAAATTCCTCAGCACAACTTTCCTGACCCTTTTCTCATCAATGCCATTTTCAATTTTCCTCAAACCCCTTCCAGATAAGCCCTGTGACCATCCTTTGTCCTTGATGAAAACTTATCAAGTTTATCCCTTTGGGATGCCGAAAGTTGCTCAAACTTGCCAAGTTGACCTCTCTACCTTGAAGTTTCAGAATAATCTTGGTTCTTCTCCTAGGCTGGTGCTCGGCAACAAAAAAGCTCATATTTAGTTCAAGCGTGAAGACTGAATCCTGATGGCAAAAATTCAGATGAATTCGAGTATGGCATTTCTTGGGCTCTTTTTGAGATGGAAATGAATTTGGGCCTAACAGTTAAGAGTTGAATGTAACTGCAGCTAAGGAAATTGAAATTGACAGTGATCATAAAGCTATCATAATCTTTGTTCCCATTCCTCAACTGAAGCCTTTACAGAAAATTCAAGTCTGAGTGGTACAGACGAAAAAATTCAGTGGAAAACACATGGTCTTTATTATTCAGAGAATTCTGCCTAAGCCAACTTTATAAAAAACATGAACTGGACCAAGGACCTAAATGCCAGAATGAAAACTGTACAACTCTTAGGAGAAAATATCAGAGAAAGCCTTTGTGGCAGTGGATTGGGTGAAGGTTTCTGAACTATGACACCTAAAAGCATAAGCAAGCAAAGAATTGATTAAATGTCATAAAAATTACACACTTTCTTGTAAAGGACACTGTCAAGACAGCATAAAGACAACTCACAGAATGGGGAAAATATCTGTTAGCCACGTGTATGATAGGGTCAAGTATCCAGAATATATAAAGAATTCTTACAATTCAACCATAAGGGCTAGTCCTATTTAAAAGTGGACAAAAGATTTTAATACAATGAGAATGAAGCATTTTAAATTGTTCAAAGTGGTTACCTTTGGTGAGTTCTAGGAGGTGGGGAACAGGCTTTATGTGAGCTCTGGTAGAGTAGTGGTTATGAATCGGGCTGCGAGCCGCAAGGTCAGCAGTTCGAAACTACCAACTGCTCTGGGGGAGAAAGATGAGACAGTCTGCTCCCATAAAGATTTACAGCCTCAGAAACCCTGTGTAAGGTCACTATGAGTCGGAACCGACTCCATGGCACATAACAACAATGCCCACAATGAATCTTATAGAACGATTTGACTCTTTAAAAATAAGTGGTTCTCAACTAAGGGCAGTTTTGCCCACTTTTGTTCTGAGTTGAAGCAACCCTATATAAGAGCTTCCAAGGAGCAACTGGTGGGTTTGAACTAACTGCCAGACTTGTGACCCCAGCACTGGACTGTTTTTGCAATTTTGCACTCTAGGGGTTATTTAAGGAGCTCTGCTGGTGTCAGGAACCCTGGTGGTTCAGTGGTTGAAATCTCCCAGTCCTACAGGGCAGTTCTACTCTGTCCTATTGTATCACTGAGTTGGAAATCACTTGATAGCAATGGATTTTGGTTTGTGTGGTGCAGTGGTTTTTGTACTTGTCTGCTTCCGGAAAGGTCAGCAGCAGTTTGACCCCACCAGCTGGTCCCAGGGAGAAAGACTGTCAATCTGCTTCCATAGATTTATAGCCTTGGAAATGCTTTAATAGGGGCAGTTCCCCTCTGTCCTACAGGGTCACTAGAGTGTTGAGGTTGGCTGAGAAACAGCTTTGATAAAACTTTAAATAAGCATAGTACCCACATTACAGAGCAAAAAGTTCTTCTGCACAAGGTTCAACAGATGTGGTTTTACGTCACCTATGTTCTTACAACCTTAATACAGAGCAGAGCTAAGAATGCCTACCAGGGATGTTGAGGAAATGTGGGAGCTACCACATTTATAAACGGTACTTCTCAGTATCCTAGACTTGATGGATCAGGGTAATTAGAATACATTGGGTGTTATGCTTCCAGAGGCATGTCAAGCCTCCAGGTGCTACTCCTGTCTCTAGGGCTGTTATAGAGGCGATTTCACCCCATTTTCATATGGTTTGAATCCAACACCACACCTGGGACACTTGATCTCAATCTCCCCCCCCAACACATTACAGAACTCCCAGCAGACAAGTTAGCCAGCTACCTGGGAGTCTGTTTACTTACTGACTGCTCTGATATAGAAGCAAGTAGTGGAAAGAAATAATACATAGGTGCTGGTACAAAAATGTTAGAAACCCAACTGTAGTTTTTGATCATCTACTAAGAGAGACATTATCAAATATAAAAGCACAGAAAAGACACACAAGCTTTGGAAAAGGTAGACTTTTAATAACTGCTATATCACCAGGTTAACTCATGCAGTTACAAAGTAGTTAGAAATTTCTGAAAGGATATTATTGTTTAAAAAAAAAAAAAAAAAAAGGCGCTCATCATTCATTACATAAATAATATCTAGCATTTCATTGGGACACTACTTTTCAAAAGGCCCTGGCCACACAATTCCCAATACAACACTCAATCCAAGGCTGTTTTCAGTCAGACTTTGTTCATTCCATTTGTGGGCAAAGAGGCCTCTAAGAGTAGAGGACACACAGCTGGGCCAGTTGGGGTCACTGGCAATGTTCAGAGTTGCTAGTAAGACTCCAAACAGGGAGACAGAACATTTATTTTTTTGGGATACGCTATTTTGAATTATATTGTTCAATTAGCCAACATGATAAATTCTTAAAAGAAAATAAACATGATAAGGAGGTTGCTGCATTCTTTGGACTGTGTGTCATAATTATAGTCGGCAAATGCAGGCAGTCTTAACAAAAATAGCCTTCCTCATCTGCAGTTATGAAGATAACTTTCTATCTGGCTTTATTTTTGCTGGACAACAATACACAACTGATAAGCTATAAATGATACTGTTTTATGTTATAAAAATACTAGCTTTTTCATTTATGTTTATAGGCATTCTCTGCTTGAGTCAAGGTTAGGCTTGTTAAGTGATTAAAGGCAATTTTGTTAGAGCAGTATATGATTATTTTATTCTAAGAGAATAAAATACATAAAAAGAAACATTTTGCTTGCAACTTGCAAAATTGAGTGATTCTGCCAAAGTGAAGTATCAGTAACTCACTTTAAGACCATGCCATCTTCTGAAAATGCCATGAGTCTACTTCATAAATGTGTCAAAGTGACAGCCCATCTCAGACTTGTAGGGCTGCTCTTCCCCAACAGCAGTCATTAAAAAGCTGGGACGCACAGCTACAGAGCAGGGAAGCAAAGCCAGATGGAAGAGACTTTTTAAAGGCACGACCCCACAACAAATGGCCGGCCCTATGGATGGGTGATTTCTACTTTCACACTCATCCCTTTGTGTATGATCACTTCACCTTCATTTCTTTCTTTATGGGGGCTGATTTGGATCGACTTGTTGAGAATGGTGTTCATTATCTGCTAAGTCATTAGGGAAAGATTTCTGTGGTTACATGTAAACTTGTGATGGGTTTGCAGAAGTTACAGGTGGAGAGGGGAGTGGAGAAGTCAGCTGTGGAGCATCTATGTGAAGGTCACACCAGCTTCGTTGTACACCTTGAAGACTTTCTCAATGGCGTTGACATAGGCAGCGGTTCTCAGGTCCAAACCCAGATTATATTTCATGGCTGTGCGCATGATTTGCTGAAATGAAGGAGAAGATACAATGAAGACCACCCCAATTCCAGCAGACGGTCAGTGCACATAGGAGGTACACATGGCCCAAGACCAGGAGTTCAGGGCAGCCAGAAAGCAACAAACTCCAGCCAGGGAGTAGTAATCCTCTGGAATTAACACTGGTTATCCCACAACGCCACACCGCAGCTTCTACTGAATTCACTCCATGGAAACTGGTGGAGTTTCTGGAGTCCTGGTGTTGGCACTCTAGGATAAAGCAGTGGACTGCTAAGCACAAGCTTAGTGGTTCAAACCAACTAGCCACTCCTAGTCGCTGTGAGTCAGAACTGACTTGATGATACTTAACAATTGTCTACACAACAGTAAGAAGTTACTCTTTAGAATTTTAGGTGTTCTTTCTATTTAAACTGTTGTCTGGAGAAAGATCATTTGATACATTTCATGATTTAAAAAACAACACAACATAAGCTTAGTGATGTAAACCCCATTAAACCGTAGACTTTAAAAAGGTGTGTTTTATGGGTGGTGAATTTTAATCTCGAAATAAACAGTAAACAGCATTTGCACACATACCCGGGCGGAACGTTCCATAGTGTAAGCTAAGCCAGAGTGCACGATGTCTTTCTCAGATGCACCCTAACAGGAAAAAGAACAGAAGTTTAACAAAACCATGAGAAGATGCATTTTCTATCAATCAGAGTTAAGAAGGATTTGTAAAAACAATACACAACCAGACACAATTGTTTTGTCTTTCAGTAAAGATAAAAAAATCAACACAGATAGTGTAGACAGTGTACCCCAGGGACACGATGGTTAGGACGGAGTCCCACAACCTTGGCCATTCGAGCTCCAGAAACACTATAGCAATGTGCTGTCAAGTCACAAAGCACTCACGTCAGTTCCCCAGGTGAACAGGACACAAAAAGGAACTTGGCTGATTCCAGTAGCAGCTCTGGATTACAAGCACTAGTGCCACCAAGTTATAAAGCTGAATGGATCTTTAGTTAACCCCCCAAAATGCTACTGGCGAGGAAGCTGATGACTAAGGAGTTAAGTCGATGTACCTACCACCACATCAGCTTATCTCTTTTCTTTGCCAATTATCTCTGATGAGTTTAGTGATTCATCTAGTTTCGTGGACTGCTTTGTAAAATTTAAGTACAATTCACTGTCACCATCACCCTTATTATGACATTAAGAAACAGGCTTGGTTTATAAGCAAAATGCTGCTGTTTCATTCATTCATTTATTCAATCAACTAACATTTATTAGGTACCCATGGCATTTTAGGAGTCTTGGTGTGGCACTGTGGGCTCATGCGTCAATTTGAACTGCAAGGTCGGTGGTTCAAGCTCGCCAGCTGCTCCTTGGAAACCCTATACAGGGTTGCAATGGGTCAGATTTGACTCAACGGCACTTAACAACAACACTGGCATTTTAGGATAAGTGTTGGACTGGTAACCGCATGGCCAGCAGTTCAAATTCTCCGGCCACTCCACAGTTTAAAGGTGAGGCTGCCTGTGCCCATAAACCTTTACAGTCTCAGCAACCCCATGCAGGATCACTGTGAGTTGTAATCAACTAGATGGCAGGGAGTTTGGGTTTGCTTTTTAAAAAAATAAAGTGCTAGGAATTCTTCTAGGCACTAGGGACACGACACAGGAGAACAACATAAAAATGATCTTGTCTTCACAGAAAATTTCATTCTAATGGGAGGAGATAGGACATATGTGGACACAAAACTATCAGGTTGGCTGAGTAAGGTCTGAAAATCTGAATTTAGTTAGAGGAGAGGTCAGGGACTGAGGCCCTCCAACGTTAAGTGTGCGGAGAGACGAAGAGGTACTCGGCAAAAGGCAATAAAATGAAATGGCTAGTGAGGATGGAAGAAAATCAGGAAATGTGGTATCCTGCAGGAGAATATTTCAAGGTAGACAATGATCAGCTGTGATAACAGCTGCTGACAGGTCAAGTCAGATAAGGGCTGAGAAATGACCACTGGCTCTGGCAATGCTGATGCCGCCACTGGTTATCTTGACAAGAACAGTTCTGGTGGGGGGGGGGGCAGGAGTGGGCTCAAGGACAGACATAGAGAAGAACTGGAGCCAGCCAACCCAAGTCTTTCAAGATTTGCCACAGGGGAAACACCAATGGCAATTAATTGGAAGGGGATGTGGGAATCAAGATTCATTTCATCATTAACAAAGAGGCTGAAGCTGTTCATGTACAATAAATACTGCTTGGGATTTGATTCCTTGGTTTGGAGCTCTGAAGTCATGGTTTCATGGGACACCCTAGTTAACTAGCTCAGTAACATGTTCAGTGCTTCTGTCTGACATCCTTGTTCAAGTGGCCAAGGCACAACAAATGGTCTCTATTTAACTAGAGCAACAGAAGGACACTTGGAAAAAAGAGGCTACGGAATGCGCGGCTAATTGCCTCCATGACCAACTTCCTTCTCTGTCATGAGGTTAGAAGAAATGCATGGTGCCCAGCTACTATTTCTGAACATTTTGTTCAAAGGTCTGTAAAATGATCAAAATGGGGGAAATGTAGAACAATTTCAACTTCTCATGGCCCTCTGACTTTCTGGGACCATGGTGGCTGGATGAACCCCTGAAATTTGCCCTGAGATCATCTTTAAACCAAAAAATCTCCTGGAATCTTCTTAAAACAAAGGAGTAATTTAATTTAGCTTTCTGAGTAAAAAGAAGATCTGCCTTGAACATTATACTTTTCTAAGAACTATCTACGTGGAATCTAGTGGGTATGTAAGGAGCCCTGCCGGTGCCACGGGTTAAACACTTGGATACTCTGGTAAGTGAAAGGCCAGCCATTGGAACCCACCAGTCACTCTCTGGGAGAGACACGAAACACTCTGCTTCTGTAAAGATCAACTCAGATGTGGGACCGTATGTGGACTCCTTCTGAGTTGGGACATTCCCAACTGCTGGAAGAACAAAAGATTCTTATTCAAAGAATGACCTGTAGAAAAAAGAGGGCTGTGTGGCAGTCTGAATATCAAGCAAGCTGTTTGCTTTGGAGGCATCAAGGAAAAAAAAAGTCAGTCCATCAGGGAAAACCGTTTTCCAGGACTGAAACTCAAAGAGAACTCATGAGAAGTATAATATGCTTGCTGGTTGTCACTTGGGTTTACTTGAGTGGAAGTGGGGTAAATACAGCAATGACGACATGGGCTGAGTTTGGTCATGTTCCATTGGTAACCCTTGACTTTGAGATGAGAGAGAAGAGAGGAAGGGCTGGCTGATCTGAAGTTTAGGGAGGTGTGCGTGAATTCTCAAACTTGCAGCTAGTATCCATTTGACGTAGCTTGACCAGAACTCAAATCAAGGAAGATAAAGAGATTTGATACTGAGAACAAGGGCAACATTGAGACGTTTGCCTATAAATGCAGTGACTCAAAATTCCAACCAGAATGGAAGGATTCTTCTTATCAAGGAACAACCTTGTTTCCTCAGTGTTCTGGGTTGGCAGGGACTAGAAATTTAAACACTGGCTACCAAAAATGGGGGCTGGTGGTGCTACAAAGGCATGAAGTGACTCACTTACAAGTTTTCATAACTGTGCTTAGTTTTAGAATGCCAAGGAAAAAATCAAAGAGACACAGAGAGCAGAAGGGTGTAAGAAAACAAGATCCTTCAATGTCTACAAGAGACAGATCAAAAAGGTGGAGACAGCGTAAATGCCCATCAACAGAAGTATGGCTCAGCAAACCTACACATAATGAGACTCTGTGAAGCACCTCACAGCATGGATGAACCTGGGGGATACTATGCTGAGTGTCACAAAAGGACAAGTATTATTATATGAGATCAATGTTGTAAAAAGTTTTTTAAAAATGGTTTTCTTGATTAAAAAAAAAAAAAAAATCTATGACGGTTACGGGGGGAGGGAAGGAAAATTATTCAAGGGCTAGAGGGAGACACATGTTAACATGGGTGAAGAGGCAGGCAATATACAACAAGAGGGAGGGGAGCAGAGGAAAGATCAAAGGAGTAGGAGACACAGGGAGAAATGCAATAGATAAGTGAACAGAGGTCAATACTGTTAACTGTTGGTACATGGAGGGGATTGCAACCATGTAATGAAGCAAAATATATGATTTATTGAATGTGAAACTGATGATCTGCTCTGTAAACCTTCACTCAATTCACAATAAAAAGTGGAGGAAAAAAGATCAACTCAGAGAAGGAGGGCGCGCACGGCTGCGTAACTGAAGAACGTAACCAATGGCACTAAACTGTCCATGCAGAAGCCAGTGAACTGGCGTATGCTTTTACTGTGTAATTATCAACAACAACAAAATAAGTGAAATTCAGAAAAAAAGAGACATCTTTGTATGATATTATAGAGGGAATTGATAACACAAGTAAGAAAAGGTGGAAGTTTGCTTCAGCAGTTCATTTAAGAAGTTGAGGAGAGACCATCCAAAGCATGGAAGGGAAATTTGGGCTTCCTGGAACAGAGCTGGTCTACAATAGGAGAGTTAACATGGAACAGGGTACAGGTACTGGAACTGAGAATGTAGTTTATTGATTTCAGCTTTTTCTGTGAATACAGATACCAGGTTGTTGGCTGGAGTGAGAGAATGAATGGAAGAGGGAAAGAGTAAGAGACACTGCAAGGTTAGGGGCCATGGAATAACATTAGAGCTCTCAGCAGGGCCTTCAGCAACAGAGATTGTATGGAAGAGGGTCCAGATGAAGTTTGAATACCCTGGTGGTTGGCTGTCTGAACCCATACGTCGCTCGCTAGGAGGAAAACGTGCCAGTCTGTTTCCATAAAGATGACACAACCTGTGAAACCCTATGGGGCAGGGTTGCTGAGTTGGAACCAACTAGATAGCAGTGTGTCTTGCGCAATCACAGCCAGTCTTCCTAAACCCAGTGGCCTGCCCCATGTGTTCTATGTCACCTGTAAATCACTCTTTGTACGACATTCCAGCCCAACAGAGGGAAGAGAAATCAATTCTGGCACGCACAGGGGACTCTGAGAGAGAGCCACAGAGATGGAGTGACTGTTGACTATAAATCCTTTCGTTGCTTTTCCTACTTTTCCATTGTTTTACTAGTGAGATGAATCATTCTTTCCAGATTTATTTTTGTTGTCACTCACAGTTCATGTCTTCTGTCATTTATGAGTACGAAGTTCTCTTTTTAACAGTGAACCCTATCAACAGCTACTTAGTATAAACCAACTTTCCTAATTTTATCACCGTTTCTCAGGAGCACAAAGGAGCTGAAATACATACTCATCTTCCACGGTTATGTAACCATCACTTGTTGAGTTATTTGTATTTTCAAAGTACCAAAAGCCGAAGAACCACTATTTATTTTGTATCCATCCATGTGGGGTCATTAGAATTCTTACTCCATTTTTTCTCTTTTTTTTTTAATGTTTTATTGTGAATTGTATGATAGTTTACATGAGAAAACCTCAGTTCCATATTCATTCCATCGTATATCATTACACTGCCAAGGTTCCAATCCCCTCCATGCCTCGTCTTCTGACCAAAGGGCATATCCTAGAAGCCTGTGCTCTACACTCCCTCCTCCCCCCTCAGTTCCTCTCCCTCTCTGGATCCAAAGTCCCCAGCCGCTTCATTCCTCCTTGTCATCATCTCTGTCTCCATCTCAGGCATCCCCAGTTCTCTGGGTGGGGTCCTGTTTCCAGCTCTTATCCGTTGGTGGTCCCGGAGACCTCTGCTCCTAGACTGGAGAAATAATCGCTCTCTTCCTTGCTACAGAACATCCACCCTTGCATTTCCAACACTCACAATCCGTCTTGATAACCATTATTCACTACAGTATCGCATGTAACCCATCTGTATTTCATTTCATCAGCTCCACCTAGACAAATTGGATAGTACTCACTGGTGATTCTGCCTTCCTCCATGCCCCCTAGGTCTAGGTTCCCTCTTGAAAGCTTGTAAGCCAGTTACTTCTTGCCTTTGTAGTCCCTCCCTCCCCATTTGGGTATCCAATGTCCAAGTTGCCCCTCTCTGTCTACTCTGTGTGTGGAGGGGGTGGGAATGTTTCTTGCTGTAAGGATTTGTTGCCTCTTTTGTGTCAGTGCATTCGTATGCATAGGTCAAGTTCATCAGCTTGGGTCAGCTCAACCTTCTTTCCCACCCCCTCTTCTTTCTTCTCCTGGTTGAGCTCTGATCATCCAGTCATCCAGTCCCGGTCACGTGGTGTGTCATCTGCAAGTGTGGGTGTTCTTGTGCACATGCCCTCTCTTCCCATCAGCCAGCAGCTCCATTCTCCACTTGAGTCCTCCGTGGCCACGTCACTGACTCTGGGCCCAGGAGTCCTCGGGTCTCTTCGCACTGCTTGCAAACCAGGTCCCCAACCGGGTCCACAGAAGCCCTCTGAATATTGTGAGGCTTAGCTCGCCACTTCATTGCTGCCTTTACCCTATTTCTCCCCAATGGTGACGCGTGTTGTTGCATTTCCACCGAGTCTCAGTTTTGGGAGGGGGGCCTTCTTATTCCATTTTTAAGAACATAATCAAGGAGGTAGTCAAAGTGCTCTCAAGTCAATACAATTGTTATTATGGATTGTTCCCCCTCAACTCAACTCAGTGTACCTGAACTGGATGAAAAGAATACATTAGCCAGCCAGCCAGCGTGTGTAAAACACAAGTCTTGGCCACACTCACCGATATCCTGTCTTGGAACTCAGCTGTGGGTACAACAGGAATCGTTCCACCGTGCTTCCCAAATTTCCTTTCTAAACTCTCTTGAACAGACACTGTAAATAGCCAAGAGATCAAGATAAGCTCCTGCTAATAAGAAGTAGAACCCAAAGTAAGTAATCTTGAATTATATCTATAGCCCAAAAACAAGTACAGAATTTTAAAAACCTTTAACATTAGTGACATAAAAGCACCAATCATTTAAAACTCAGTTAAAAAGACATGAAACACTCAGTAAATGGGAATTTAGGTCACTGCTGTTTCCATAACACCCATTACCAGGGTTTTTCCTTGGCTTTGTTAAAAAGAAAATGCTGAGAAAGAACTGGAAATACAACACTTCACCTAGATCCCCAGAGCGGGCCGGAGTGAAAAGGAGCTCTGTTGGTGGTCTGTTTCAGCCTAATGACAGACTCTACTGCTAACTCTGGAGCTTACTCTAATCAAAGAGAAACGAATATTCTCATCAGAAGACTCAAAACATTCCCGACACTAAACAGAGCTTTACTAAGTGCAACCAGAGAAAGTGGATGGGTGTCAATAGCCAAAGTCACATTTTTAAATGGTACTTTTGAAAACCATCAATGTACAGATTAAGTTCTGAGATTACTGTATTCGAGTAAGAATGATAATATAAACACATATAAGAACATTAATATACTGAATACCCTTATGAGCTAGAATATGACATTCTGTTGTGAGACTGCATTTTCTAAGATAAAAAAGAGATGTCTGTCATCTGAAGAGTGTATTTTTCCCCTAGCCTTTTAACTGGCCTCAAACTATTATTTCTGGAGAGCAGGAGGACTAGCACCCACTTTCAGAAATGGAATTCTCTCTGGGACTACAAAAGAGAAACCTGTTCTTTTTTTGTGTGCTAGGATTAACACTCACTGAGCAGGTGGTAGTTAGAGTCCCTTTCATATTTGAAGGTCAGACGGCCATAGCTGACATGGTTGAGATTCTTCAGCCACTCAAAGTAAGAGACTGTCACCCCTCCGGCGTTCAAGTAGAGATCCTGCACAGAAGAGTTCAATTTCAATGTCACAGACTATGTCCCAAATTTCCTCAATGTAACTTGGAGTAGTCCTGGTGTGGAGCTGCAAGATGAGCACTCAACCACAGGTCAGTTTGAACTGCATGGCCGGTGGTTCAAACTCACCAGCTGCTCCTTGAAAACCCTATAAAGGGTCGCTATGAGTCAGAACCGACTCGACGGGACTTAACAACAAACTTCCTTTCCAGCCCATCTAAGCTTTTTTCCCATTTGCTGGTTTATTATTTAACAAGCATTTGATCACCTTTTGCTAGAGCCTCTTCTCTACCAAAAAAGTTCACACACAAAATTGCTTGTTCACTAAGCTTTGGATTGGACTGACCAGATGATGAGCATCCCCATTCCACTACTCAGGAAGGAGCAGTCCATTTCAGTTGAATGAAATTTACAAAGTGCTTTCAGAAAAGAAGATTCTTTAAAATGCATCTGGCCTACCCAACAAACATTTAATAGCCTCTTGGTGTCAACCCCCATGCTGATCCACTATGAAACCTGAACACACATTCCTCATATAGCTCTTAGAATAAAACAAGGGCAGATAAGGAATGAAACAGGAATTTGAGAGTTTAAGTTTCTAGTATAATACACATTTACATTATAATACCATAAAATACTAGGTTAAATATATACTCAATAAGCTGGAAGAAAACATTTAGGTCTAAGTGAAAATCGTCACTTATTATACTAATTGTGCATTTGCTACATTTTCTTAAGACCAAAATAAGATGAAAATTACACTACAGCATAGGAAAAGAAAGTAATGGTCCCCTTTCCCTCCAGTTCCTTGAAGAAGGCAATTATGATCAAATACACAAACCCTGACAGACATAAACAACTTACAGGGATCACCATAATGTTCCTCTCCAAGAAAATCTTATCAGCTTCTGGAGTTGTCGGTCCGTTGGCACCTTCAGCAATGATCTATGAGCGAACATACAGAAACTCCAGACAGGGTTTATGATGAAATTCATGGCGAGGGTTGCACAACTCTATGTGACTTACATCCCAATAAAACCAGCAGGGTCACCCAGGGTGGACAGGTTTCAATGGAACATCTAGAATAAGAGTCTAGGAAGAAAGGCCGGAGGGGCTCTACTTCTAAAGATTAGCTCATGAAAATCCTCTGGGTTACAGCAGAATGTTATCTGGTATCGTGCTGGAAGAGGAGCCCTCTGGGCTGGAAGACACTCAAAATACAGGCGCTGCAAAAACGGACTCAACTTCCCAAGAATCATGAAACACGTATTTGTTCTATTTTATACAGGATGGCCGAGTCAGAGGTTACTTGATGGCAACAGATCACATGTCATCCACACAGATAATGCAGAGCCCAGTTTCTGGAATGCTTTTACCTTGGCTTTGATTCTGGGTGCATTGGATTTGGTCAGCTGCTTCTCGCTGGCCGCTGGGATCAGTATGTCACAGTCTGCTTCCAAGATGTTTCCTTCATAGGGCTTTGCTTTGGGGAAGCCCAGGATGGAACCATGTTGCTATAATTGATTACAAATCAAAACAAATGGTTACACCAGAGTTTAAATGTATATGTTTAGCACTTCTAATATCAGTTTCATTTATGTGTGCTACATTAAAAAAAAAGAATAGAAATCGAGTGATTCCCCTCCCCTCACTAAATTCACCCCAGGTTTATGGTATTCAAACTATTCAACACTGGATCATCATACCAATTTGAAGTCTTCCAACTCCTTTGGATCAATACCATCTGGATTCCATATGCTTCCGTCAGACTCTCCAACACCAACACATTTAGCACCAAAGCGATGTAAGTATCTCATAGAGTGCAGACCCACATTACCAAATCCCTATGGAGAGTAATTACAGAAGACACAAAAATCAAAGTCCCAATACAGGTAGTAAGGGAAGTTCTCGAGACTTCTCTTCAGCAAGAAAAATCTGTAAGATCGTGGAACCTAACTCGCTGTTATCTGTGATAACAGAGAATGATAATGATAATCAGGTACAGCTTCAGGCTTATGAAGAAATGGCAGTCCTTTCAATCACATAACCTGCAGCCTTGGTGTGGCGCTGTAGGTTAATGTGCTGGCCTGCAGGGTTGGTTTGAACTGCAAGGTCGGCCACTCAAGCTCACCAGTCACTTCTAGGAAACCCTTTACAGGGTTGCTATAAGTCAGAATTGACTCAACAGCACTTAACAATAACAACAACAGGTCCTCAACCCCCAAGACCAGATTTCCTGTAGCTATTAAAAGTTACGTCCTTAGTTTAGTTTCAGAGCAAAAGGGGGAAGGTAGAATCCCCGCTGAATAGTTCTCTGGTAGCGTAGTGGTTACGAATCGGGCTGTGAACC